CAGACAGTCACACACTCACAAAGAGACAGTCACACACTCACAGGCAGTCACACACTCACACACTGACCTCCTTCTTACCTCCTGTTTGTTGCTCCTGGAGGCTGGTTGTTGGGGAAGCAGGGACTCCTTCCTGCTTCCCATGCTGCAGTCAGCCGGGCCCCGCCGCACGCTAAGCCCCGCCCCGTCGCACTAAGCTCCGCCCCCGCCGCAAATTTTAAAAAAATTTTATGATCCCGGCCGGCCGTGTGTGAGCTGTGCCGGCCGGCTCCCCCTGCTCCCATGGGGCTCTGTGCGGCCGGAGCTGTCAGCCCAATGATTAGGGCTGTCAGACCGGCCCCAGGTGCCACGGCCCACCGGGAAATTTCCCGGCATCCCGGTGGGCCAGTCCGGCCCTGTCTGAAGTTGTATTTACCTAATTTTAAGACCTGCTAAGGAACAGATGATTGTTATTATGTCCTGCTATGTAAAACCCTAGAATTTAAAGAGGGTCTACTTTCTTATTCCCATGACTGTATGTCTGAAAATAGTACATTGGGCACTTCTCCACCATTATGGAGCATAAGAAGTATGTATTTTAACAGTTTGTGAGTGGGATAGTATACTGTCCCCTGGAGAAACATGTTAAACAGTTTGGTAAGAGGAGGTAACCTTATTTTTTAATATAATTCTTTATTTTGGTGGTGCATTGTAAAGACGTGTTTGGCATACAGCAAATGTATAAAATGCAGTTAGAAAGATTGTACATTGACATTTCTATAACATGGCACTGTTTCATGAGCTGTAAGCCATAAGCATCGCACTTATGACAAATCACGGCTTGAACTATCTTGCTTTGCATGTAATGCATCTATCTCATATATTAGTTTCCCCTTTTACGTTGCATTTCTGAAATAAATGAACTTTTGCACGATATTCTAACTTTTTGAGTTATCACCGGTATGTGCTGGCGAATGGCAACAGAACTTTGATTGCCCGCTTGGACAATTCTTGATATTCTTCACGTAAATTACGCCAAAAAGCAATAAGAGAAACTTCTTTACATTTTTAGCTTAGTTGACTGTTAGAAGTTATATCGATCAGACTCTCAAAATCTACATCAGAAGAATTGTCTGGCTTGTCTTTTATGAATGGATTTCGAACCCACTCATTATTGTTTTCATTAAAGAATGGAAAATACTGATTAATAGATGTGATTAAATGGCGAAGATGATCTACAATTTCATTTTCTGATTCTTCAAGAAAATCCTTAAGTGTTGGCAAAGAGTTCAAATTATTTTGCTCAACAGATGAGGGCCAAAACTGCAGCTTACGAGACAGTGAAAATATTTTATCTCTTGCATTCAAAATATTGGTGTTTTGTCCTTGGAGTGATAAACATACGTCATTTAATTTTGTGAATATGTCTGCAAGATATGCTACTTTGGATAACCACAGAGTGTTGTTAATCGATCAGATAATCCAAATTTATGGTCTTGTAAATATGCAAACAACTCTTGACGCAATTCAAACATTCTAACAAGGACTTTACCTCGTGATAGCCAATGGACTTCTGAATGCAAAAGCAGAGCAGAGTGGTGACTACCCATATCTTCACATATTATTTTAAATAGTCGTGACTGTAATAGTCGACTTTTTATAAAATTAATAATCCGGACCGATTTGTCTAGCACAGTTTTAAGTGAGATTGAAATATTTTTAGCTACCAGTACATGTCTGTGACGAACACAGTGAGAACTGGTGCTGTTTTTTGCTACATTTCTTATTTGTGTCACAGCGCCTGCCACTTTCCCAACCATTGCTTTGGCACCATCACTGCACACATCTACACATTTGTCCCAATTTATACTGTGTGTGTTCATGAACTTCTGGATACAGTTAAAGATGTTCTCACCAGTGGTATTAGTTTTCAAAGTTTCACACAGAAGCAAGTCTTCTTCAATCTGTTTGTCAAAATTATATCTAACAAAAACCAACAAGACTGAAAGTCCTGCAACATCTGTGGACTTGTCTAATTGCAGTGAGTACCCATCACATTGATGCAGTCGAGAAATTATTTCAATATGGATGTCATCAGCAAGATCATGAATACAGCGCAAAACTGTGTTGTTGGAAAGTGGCACAGCTTAAATTTTTTTACACAACTTTTCACTTAAAAAACATGACACTATTTCTTTGGCACATGGTTTTATTAGTGATTCCCCAATTGTGTGTCCTTCTCCATCTATGCAGTAACTAACTCTGTAAGAAGACTGTAGCTTTTTTATTAGCATTTTGAAATTTTTTGCTCATAAATTGTTTACTCTTCTGATACTCCTTTAGCTTTGGCTTAAAAAAGTCAATATCTTTACCTTTGTACTCTGCGTGGTTTTGCTCAAAATGACAACGTAAGTTAGCAGGTGCTAAAAAACAGTTTGGCAATATTTTATTGCAACGTACGCATTGTGCTTCAGGACTATCTTCGTTTCTGGCACTTGTGAATCCAAATGACAAGTAGCTATCATCATATTTTCTTTTCTTTGTTTAAGAAGAAGATGTTTTTTTTTTTTTTCTTTGACTTGTCACATGTCTCTGCTATTTGAGGAACAGTAGATACAACTATTTCGGGCATGTTTTCTGGATTTTTAGTTGTATCTTCTTTCTCAGTTTCTATAAGTGCCAAATAAGTAGAAGTAGTAATAATTTTTCTCTGAAGAGCTCCTTGCTTTAACCAGCTTTCCAAATTTATGGTCGTTTATTGGTAAATACAAAACAAAACACTTTAAAAAATACACATCTCACACCCTGACTGAAAACTATGCTGATTTTGATAACACTCTTAGAAAGAACTGAACTTAAGCAAAATTTTTGAGTTAAACTTGGAGAAAAAAGATTTGAAAACTTTGGAAAAATACAGATCCCCCAACCTGACTGAAAGGGATGCTGATTTTGATAACGCTCTTAGAAAGAACTGAACTAAAGCAGGATTTTGAGTTAGACTTGGAGAAAAAAGATTTGAACACTTTGAAAATACAGTTAACAATTTTTTGCAGCTCACATAGTCTTTCAATGCCTTTCACAGAGTCTTTCAATGCCCCTGACAGAGCCTTTTAACCCCTTAAGGACACATGACATGTGTGACATGTCATGATTCCCTTTTATTCCAGAAGTTTGGTCCTTAAGGGGTTAATGTCCCTGACAGAGCCTTTCAATGTCCCTAGCAGAGAATTTCAATGCCCCTGACAGTCTTTCATTTCCCCTGACAGAGCCTTGTAATGTCCCTTACAGCACCTTTTAATGTCCCTAACAGAAAATTTCAGTGCCCTTAGCAGAGAATTTCAATGCCCCTGACAGAGAATTTAAATTCCACTGACAATCTTTCAATGCCCCTCAAACAGTCTTTCAATACCCCTGACAGAGTCTTTCAATGCCCCTCAACGAGTATTTCAATGCCCCTGACAGAGCCTTTCAATGTCCCTACCTAACAGAGCTTTCTGTATCTCTACCTAACAGAGCTTTCTATGTCCCTTCCTAACAGAGGTTTCTATGTCCCTACCTAACAGAGCTTTCTATGACAATAACAGAGCTTTAACTATGAGCTCCACTCTCTATCACTCCTCTACCACGAGTGATAGAAAACGGCTGGCTGACGGCTGGGCGGGCTCTCTCACAGACAACATAATTCTAAGTGGCTGGGTGATGGCAAGGCGGGCGGCAGGGTGGGCTCTGACAGCAGGGCATGCTGCCGGCAAGGCAGGCTGACGGGAGGGCGGGCTTACAATCGCGCTCTTATGAGATCGCGGTTGCGTGATCTCTGCTGTTTCCGACCTTCCGGGAACAGCAGGTAGTGGCGGCTATGTCTGATGTGGCAAAATGCTGCGGAATCCCAATTTTGTTCTCTAGGGTTCCGCGGAACACTTATTGTGAAACGCAGGGTTAGATTATAGGCAACTCCCAAAGATGACTTTTAAAGTCATGTCAGTTGCGGCTTTTGCAGTGTGCTCTTACTATCAAAAAAATTTTTTTTAAATGTTGCTAATATATATATATATATATATATATATATATATATATATATATAAATAAATCCTGGTGTTCCGATATCATTCTATGGGAACATTTCTTAAATCCCATAAACCTTTATGTTTACTATCTGCAAAAAGGGCAAATAACATATTGCCCTGGCTGTCCATTTGCAGTAAGGTTTAATTGAGTGGAATGTAAGCTCATTGAGCAGGGCTCTCAACACCCTCTGTTCCTGTGCGTCCAGCTTGTCTTGGGGCAAATACATGTCTGCTAGTCCACTATTGTACAGCGCTATGGAATTTGTTGGCGGTTTATAATTAATAATAAAACATATATTTATACATGTTCAATGTGTAGACTTTATATGGCTTTATACAAGTATTTTTACACACAGTTAATATTTGAGATTTTAACGTCATCAGGAACAACTTTCCTGTTATTTTTTGTTGTTGTTTTTTTACATATACCCCAAGAGACCTTAACACCATTTTTGGCACTGCTACACTTTTTTTGTCTGCCAAGTGAGTAATGTGGTATTCTGGGTGGCGTTGTAGAAGTAATTTGCCAAAATTAGCTCTGTAAGGGAGGTGTCATTGCATTTCTAAATATAAGGAGGGATGTGAAGCGATGTCGTCACGCGTCCATGAGGTGGGGTGTGGGCAGGAGAACCAATGAATAGAGGAGACACAGAGCAGGAAGGTGAGACTGTAGGCTGTGCTTATCTATGATGTGCTATGACCCTTCCGGCATCCCGTTGTACAGATACATTGCCGGGCTTGTGAGCTTCGCTTCAGTATGAAATGACTACTCGCCCGACCAATCACGGTGTAAGGATGCAGCGGGCCTGGCTGTGATTGGACAATGCCAAGACAGGCACCTATTTTAGTTTGAAAAAAAAAAAAAAAAAGCCTGGCAGATGGGGCGGGTACAATAGAGGGTCACGCGCCTGCTGCTCATTGGCCGCGCGTTCTGACTGACGTACTTCCGCTTGGCTGTATGTGAAAACCCGCTGTCCGGACGCCATTTTTATTGTCTCCCAAGTCTCGCAGAGGGAAGCAGGGAGGAGATTCGGTGCGGAATACACGTATTGTTCGCGCGGGCCTGACAGGACCTGCAGCTTCCGGCGTGAACATGAGTCTCGGGGCCGCCGAGGAGCCCGTGTGCTTTTGAGCGGTACCTCGCGCACCCTCCCTCCAACCGCCGTATTTATTAACCTCCGCCCCCTCCCCGAGCGATCGCCTCCTCCAAGATGTCGTCTGCCCGCTTCGATTCGTCGGACCGCTCGAGCTGGTACTTCGGCCCGGTGTCGCGGCACGAGGCCCAGTCGCGGCTGCAGGGCCAGCGGCACGGCGTGTTCCTGGTGCGGGACTCGTCCACCTGCCCCGGGGATCACGTGCTGTCCGTGTCCGAGAACTCGCGGGTCTCTCACTACATCATCAACTCGCTGCCCGGCCGCCGCTTCAAGATCGGGGACCAGGAGTTCGACAACCTGCCGGCCCTGCTGGACTTCTACAAGATCCACTACCTGGACACCACCACCCTGATCGAGCCGGCCCCCAGGTGAGAGTCTCCTCCATGCCGCCTGTCAGCCATGCATGGAGTGCTGTCACTGTGTTACACTCCCCGTGCGAGGGACACCCGCTATGGGATTCACAGCCTGGACCGCTTAACTATCTCCTTAGCCTAAATGTCCAGGTGTTTGTTTCACCATAGAGTTGAGATTTATTAATTTATTATAAAGTGTTTTACCAGGAAGGATACATTGAGCTCTCTCTCTTTCAAGTATGTCCTAGGCCCACAAACATTGTTAAAATAGAGTACAATATAATATTGCAATCACATACAAATGTATGCAGGTAACAATGAACTGGTAAGAAATATAATCAACCATAATTACAGGTGCATTCTGTATTGAGATATGGTAACTGAGATTTGGTGCAATGACCGCTTGTCTAATAGACATTAGTACTGAATTTTTAACATAAATATGTCTGTGACCTGAGTTGGTGGAATTATATGATTATATGATGAGATATATATATATATATATATATATATATATATATATATATTTTTTTGTTATTGGTAAATTTCTGTTTTTCCCTTTTCCCAACAATCATGAAAATTGGACTATATTCTTTCTACTCTTGGGGGGGAAACAAAAATTATTTCAGCGCTGAGGTGTAAACTTGATTGGTTTATAGTGACAGCTTTTTATATGCATGGCTCGCTGAATCTTGTAATTCATTGGGATATTCCCTGCATAACGTGGGATGTGAGTCATGCTTTTCATTCACAAGTCTTGTATGCAGCACTCTGCTTCCGTTGGTTTTCATGTCTAAGTTCAGTTATACAAATAGGCAATATATAATTGAAATAAGCTGATGTGCATTAAATGTTCTAAAGTTTGAAATAGAGTATTCTACATTACATTGTTCAACTGCACTTTAACTGTAATGCAGTTGATGTGGTGGTAGCGTGTGCCATGCTTTAACTGTTTAGGTACATGTCATTGGTTTTTAACAGTTTTGTGGACAGCTCCTATAGATTATTGAAAACATTCCTTGAACGTATTGTGAACGAAATACCTTCAGTCAAAATAAATATTCAAATAGACTTAGGTTCCTATTCGATTTAAGTAGTCTATCAAACATGAGTTTGGAATCTTCTGACTTGTTTTGCAAGATTTTTCCCTAAAGTAGGTCATTTTCAGTAAAAAAAAAAAAAGAGAATTGTTTTTAGTGGTTTTGCCAGACCCTGGGAGGTCTGAGTCTTCTGGCATAGTCAGTGAGAAACTGCAGAGAAAAGTCCTTAGACTTTTGGACTTTGTGTTTTGTTACTTTGATGCTATAGTCAGCATCAAATAGAACTCTACTCTGGGTTAACAAAACAAGTTGCTGATGTGAAAGATGTTTGTTTCAGAATCACTGTTCCTGACACTCAACTGTGCAAATAATGCTGATTGCCCATTACTGTTTGTTAGTTGCACATGCATCAGTTGACACAAATCAATGTCTAGAATCAATCAAAAAGTAGGACAGCCTCTCTGGAAAATGAGGGTAAAGTTGTTAGAGTTCAGAATTTTCGTTATGTTTATTTTTAACCTAACATTTATACCTGCCATTGTACAGTATATGCTGTGCATTGTTTTTATTGCATATCTTTGTACTAAATGTTTAAGGTATATATGCATGTATACATACAAGGATTGCTTTATTTTTGCTTTGCAACGCAGAACAGTTTGAAATCTGGGACTTTAGCAGATCAAGAGGATAATCTAATTGGCTTCATATATGCTATAGTCATTATCTTAAATTCACTAAATGAGATTAAGGAGTATTTGGCTAAAGAGATTATTCTTCCATGAGCTATGTGGCTAGTATCCGATACAGATTCACATTGACTTCTGTAGTAGTAGGCTTTTATGATAAAACAAATGTGTACATATATATATTTTTTTTTTCCCATGGTATCAAACATAACGTGTGCAAAGCATGCCTTATTTTAACACCATTCACCAAAAGTGCAGTGGCACCTATAGTACACATTAATTTAAATTTGTACTGATCTCATGTCTATCCATCTAGGTTTCCAAGCCCACCTGTAGGTACAGGTCCAGCCCCTACTCTATCTTCATCTGAGGAAAACTTAGAATATGTGCGGACTCTCTATGACTTTCCTGGAAATGATGCAGAGGATCTACCCTTTAAGAAAGGTGAAATTCTAATCATTGTAGAAAAGCCAGAGGAACAATGGTGGAGTGCCCGCAATAAAGACGGTCGTGTTGGAATGATCCCTGTACCTTATGTTGAAAAGCTTTCTCGTCTTTCTATCCATGGGAAATTGGGAAATAGGAATTCCAATAGCTATGGTATCCCAGAGCCAGCACATGCCTATGCTCAACCTCAGACCCCTAGCCCTCTGCCAGCATCCAATACACCACCTGGTGCAGTCATCACCCCTTTACCTTCAACGCAGAATGGACCTGTCTATGCGAAAGCAATTCAGAAACGAGTTCCATGTGCTTATGACAAGACTGCTTTAGCATTAGAGGTAAGTGGCTTGCATTAGTGATGGTACTCGATATGTTTCAGGCAAAATAAATCTTTTTAGTTAGTTGTCTTTAATACACAAAATTGCGTACACACAAACTGCAATACTTGTTCTGTGAGTGCTCTTTTATCAAACATGTCTCAATATGTTGCTAGAGGAGTATGACACACAACATTACTCTGTTTTGAGATTGATGTTCTGGCAGTGAAGTCAGCATGTCAGTGTTGGCATTTCCAAGCTGTATAACTGGTATTATCAAGGGTGGTAAGATGGAATCTTTGACAGGGTGGTGTTAAAATAGTGTGAATCCCATGAACCTCTAATCACAGGATATTGGGTGCAGAATTGCCTTAAAGGGTTACTCTCATAACAACTAGAGTGAGTTGACGTGGTCATGGTTGTAAGAGTATGCACATGCTGAGTCGTCTGTACTTTTGTGCCAGGGTCTAGTTGCACCCACAGCACATGTGACTTTGACAGCCTGGATCTGTTTTATTATGTAAAATCTGCATATTTTATGTCTACATTTGCCGCCAAAAGTGCACACTGAAAAGATCTTCTCCTTTGCAGGCAGTGCGCCTGTAAGGAAAGATTTCTCCCCTTGTTCCCTCCCGCCATTGCCGACATAGATGTGTGGTTTTTTTTTTTGTTGTTGTTTTTTTTTCTCTTTGCGTTTTGTCAAATCCTCCTTTTGGTATGCTTTCCTATGGGTGGTTTGAATGCGCGCATGGCTCTTGCCGTGCATGCGCGGTCGGATCTGACATTGCCAGGGGGTGGAGCATTCCCCAGCACAGAGGGAGCCCAGTGCTGGAGAAAGGTAAGGGGGGGGGGGGGACCTAGTGACCCTATAGTGCCAGGAAAACAAGTCTATAGTGGTCATTTTAAAGCAGTTTAGATTCACTTGAATTTTATGTTCACTAGGTTTGGAGCAGTTTAAATGCTGAAGTGAACCGCCATAAGAGGATCTCTTTAATGGTTTATTTATGAATTTGTGGATTAAAAAATAAAGTTTAACACACGGTACAATATCCTCACTGAGCCACGCAGAGATAAATAATTTTATAAATATTTTAGGGATCGACCGATATTGATTTTTTTTTTTTAGAGCCGATACCGATAATCTGCGAACTTTCAGGCCGATAGCCGATATCTTGCCGATATTCTGTACATTTACTATTTTGAATAAATAAACTAATTCGAAAGGTAAATGCACAAAATATACATGCCACATGTAGTGGATGAAGTGTGTTTAGACAGGGGAACTGTGTGTGTTTGTGTAGTGTGTGTGTAGTGGATGCAGAGTGTGTGTATATAATGCAGTGTGTGTAGTGTGTATATAATGCAGTGTGTGTAGTGTGTAGATAATGCAGTGTGTGTAGTGTGTAGATAATGCAGTGTGTGTAGTGTGTAGATAATGCAGTGTGTGTAGTGTGTAGATAATGCAGTGTGTGTAGTGTGTAGATAATGCAGTGTGTGTAGTGTGTAGATAATGCAGTGTGTGTAGTGTGTAGATAATGCAGTGTGTGTAGTGTGTAGATAATGCACTGTGGTGTGTGTAGTGTGTCTGTAATGCAGTGTGTGTTTGTGGTGTGTGTAATGCAGTGTGTGTTTGTGGTGTGTGTAATGCAGTGTGTGTGTGTAGTGTGTCTGTAATGCAGAGTGTGTGTTTGTGGTGTGTGTAGTGTGTCTGTAATGCAGTGTGTGTTTGTGGTGTGTGTAGTGTGTCTGTAATGCAGTGTGTGTTTGTGGTGTGTGTAGTGTGTCTGTAATGCAGTGTGTGTTTGTGGTGTGTGTAGTGTGTCTGTAATGCAGTGTGTGTTTGTGGTGTGTGTAGTGTGTCTGTAATGCAGTGTGTGTTTGTGGTGTGTGTAATGCAGTGTGTGTTTGTGGTGTGTGTAATGCAGTGTGTGTTTGTGGTGTGTGTAGTGTGTCTGTAATGCAGTGTGTGTTTGTGGTGTGTGTAGTGTGTCTGTAATGCAGTGTGTGTTTGTGGTGTGTGTAGTGTGTCTGTAATGCAGTGTGTGTTTGTGGTGTGTGTAGTGTGTCTGTAATGCAGTGTGTGTTTGTGGTGTGTGTAATGCAGTGTGTGTTTGTGGTGTGTGTAATGCAGTGTGTGTTTGTGGTGTGTGTAATGCAGTGTGTGTTTGTGGTGTGTGTGTGTCTGTAATGCAGTGTGTGTTTGTGGTGTGTGTAGTGTGTCTGTAATGCAGTGTGTGTTTGTGGTGTGTGTAGTGTGTCTGTAATGCAGTGTGTGTTTGTGGTGTGTGTAGTGTGTCTGTAATGCAGTGTGTGTTTGTGGTGTGTGTAGTGTGTCTGTAATGCAGTGTGTGTTTGTGGTGTGTGTAGTGTGTCTGTAATGCAGTGTGTGTTTGTGCAGTGATGTAATTTGTGTAATTTTTTATTTTAATATTTTTTTAATATTTAAATGTTTTTTTTTGTTTAGTCCCCCCCAGTGTGTTTGTGTAGTGTGTGTTTGTGTAGTGTGTGTTTGTGTAGTGTGTGTTTGTGTAGTGTGTGTTTGTGTAGTGTGTGTTTGTGTAGTGTGTGTTTGTGTAGTGCAGTATGTGTGTGTGTAGTGATGTAATTTGTGTAATTTTTTATTTTAATATTTTTTTTAATATTGAAATGTTTTTTTTATTTTTTGTTTAGTCCCCCCTCCCTGCTTCTTACCAGGGAGGGGGATATAGTATCCCCTGGTGGTCCAGTGGCTTGTTAAGTACAGTGGTGGCTCAGCAGCAGCAAGCGCTGACTTACCTTGGAAGCAGCTCCTACAGCTCCCTGTGTAAATCTCGCGGCTCTTAGTGCCGCGCGGAGCGTTGCCATGGTAACCCGTGGCAACGCTCTGCGGCCGCGGGTCTCGCGAGATTTACACAGAGAGCTGCTTGCAAGGTAAATCAGCGCTTGCTGCTGGCCCCCACAGGACCGCCGGGCTTGTAATGGGCCCGGCGGTCCTGTTATATATTATCGGCAATATCGGTATCTGAATTGGCCGATACCGATATTGCCGAAAATACCAAATATCGGCCGATAATATCGGCCAGACCGATAATCGGTCGATCCCTAAAATATTTGACAAATGGCAATCATGACATTCACTTTGCATGAATCTCCTATTGCATACTCTGGCTATAGCACCTCCATTGTGTTCAGTACCCAGCAGTGAATTTTAAAACCAAATCTGACAGTGATGTGAAGATCTGGGTCCACATGGTGGTGTATGGTTTCCCATAAGGTGCAAATTCAATCACTGGTAAAGTCAACATGCTGCATGTGATCTCAAAAAAATTGTTTCCTTTTTTTCCCCATCTGCAGAGTCCTGTTGTACTTCACGGATTTAAAGTGAATGCGTTTTACTTTCTGAAACTCAAAATGGCACTATTTTACTTTTGATTTTGTCCTGCTAGCAAGATAGTATAAAATATTGAGATTTTTGTTTTAACAGGAGGGCTCTCTATGGAAAATATTTTTTTTCTTATCTGGTACAAGATGTCGTGGTTTTTTTTTTTCTCTCTTTATAAATGTTTCCATTTGCTTATCTCTGCTTTAAGTAATTGGGGGGTTGATGTTGCTCTATATTGCTTAGTTTAGCAAGTATAGCAATTAGTAAAACCTAATCACTAATGTCTCTTGTGTTTAAAATTCTAATTAGATTTGTTCTTGGCAGAATGAACCAGTTTACAAAGTTAAAATGCATAAGTAGGTCGTTTTGTTCTGAACAAGATCATGAAATCCCAGAACGGATGTAGCTCAAAACTGGCAGTCCCAGGAATACATTGTAGTAACTGTTTCGTGGCATTGATTGAGGTATCTGAAATTGAAGCGTGGTGACCCTATTTATGGAAGTCCTATTCCAGGCTGACATAACTATTTAAAATGGATTACGTTCCAATGTCTAAACCTTAGTAAGCCGTTTAGCTTCACTGTCATGACTGCTTTTATAACTTCACTTGCAAAAGTTGTGGCATACAGACTATGTATACAGTATAGTAAACTGAAAAGATTTGTTTGCAGTATAGGCATGCATCCAGCCAAGAATTGCCAGTTACAGGTAGTTCAGGTTGTGTTAAGGTAAAGAGACAAAAAACACAATTGCTCCAAACTGTGAAAGTCTTTAGTCAAGTTGACAAGTCAGTCGATTCTATAGGACCCAGAGCCATGTCTCTTGCCTCAGATAAAACAAGGAATTACCTAATTATTTGTATATGTATTTGGGTGCCATGCAGTTATTGAAGATTTGGCTGAGTGCTGTTAACCTTTTTTCAGTCCATAGTGATTTGGCACTATAAACAAGGAATTACCTAATTATTTGTATATGTATTTGGGTGCCATGCAGTTATTGAAGATTTGGCTGAGTGCTGTTAACCTTTTTTCAGTCCATAGTGATTTGGCACTATAGGCGTGTTTTTTTTTTTTTTTTTTTTTTTTTTTTTTTTTTTTTTTTTTTTTTTTTTTTTTTTTTTTTTTTTTTCTCCCTCATCAATTCACACCTGGCAAATAGCTCTGCACTCATACTCATTGCACTTAAGAGGGCAGTTTAGTCCCCTTGGGGCACCATAACTTCATTACTAAGAATTGCCAGCCTTGTGAATAAGGGGGTCACTGGTTGAGCGTTTCAGCTGACTGTTCTCAACCAATCAGTGGCGCCCCTTCCTATTGGCACTCCAAACTTCATCTGCCTCACTGTCTGTTCTTTTTCACAAATACAAATATTACTAAAATGTAGTGTAAAATTAGGTATTTTTTTTTTTTTGAAAATTCTTGCTAGGTCATTTCCTTTACCCCTTAAGGACACGTGACATGTCATGATTCCCTTTTATTCCAGAAGTTTGGTCCCTAAGGGGTTAATCAGTTCAGAGAATCACTGCTTATTGTCAATGACTTTGTAACATTTTGTTTGCAAAAATGCTAGTTTATGTGCATTTGAACTGAACCTGTGCTTCTGCCATCACTAAACTGTTACTTTACTAATGTTACGTTCCATTAAAGGACCACTATAGGCACCCAGACAACTTCAGCTCAATTAAGTGGTCTGGGTGCTAGGTCCATCTAGTGTTAACCCTGCAGCTTTAAGAATAGCAGTTTCAGAGAAACTGCTATGTTTACTTTAGGGTTAATCCAGCCTCTAGTGGCTGTCTCACTGACAGCCGCTAGAGGTGCTTCTCACTGAAAATCAGTGAGAAGACGCTGGCCGTCCATAGGAAAGCATAGAGAAATAATTTCCTATGGACTGTTTGAAGGCGCTCGTGCGGCTCTTGCAGTGCATGCGCAATCAAAGCTGACGTTGGGAGGAGTTCCCAGCGCCGAGGGAGCCTGGCGCTGGAGAAAGGAAAGTGTTTAACCCCTTCAGCCCCCTTCTGCCTGGCGGGAGGGGGCCCTAAAGTGTCAGGAAATAGTTTTCCTGGCACTATAGTGGTCCTTTAACAATCTTTTGTTTTGTGTGTTTTTTTGTTTTGTTTTTTTTTTATTACAGATTCAGTGAAGTTTACATGCTTTTATGTACATCAAGCATGACCAATTTAGTGTAATTCTAGGATACAATCACATGGCACTCAAACGTTTTTGTATCATTTGCTCATGTGAAAGCCTTTACAGGCAGCTTAGGTGACACAAATTCCACATAAGTACATATGCATGCCTGAACCAGCCACTGACCTTACAGTGAAAATATACATGTGTACACTTAACCTCTTTCCCACCATGTATGCCATGCTGTAGCCACCTGGGGGAGGGCAATGCCATTGACAGAAGGGCAGTTAGTGAAACTTAGTATTTTCTGCTTTGTGTCCCAGAGTTGTCATAGTGACCTTATACCCATGCATATATCCAGCCCTGATGTATGTGTACCTAATTTGTTTATTTTTATTTATTTTGTTTTGTTCCCAAAGGGAATGCGCATCATAGCTGGACAGTCTTGCAGATATTGAAGTTCACTTTGATCAACATTTTGCTCTGCCAGGATCCTTAAAGGACCACTATAGTGCCAGGAAAACATACTCTTTTTCCTGGCACTATAGTGCCCTGAGGGTGCCCCCACCCTCAGGGTCCCCCTCCCGCCGGGCTCTGGAAAGGGGAAAGGTGTTTAAACTTACCTTTTTCCAGCGCTGGGCGGGGAGCTCTCTGCCTCCTCTCCTCCTCCTGGGCTGAATGCGCACGCGCGGCAAGCGCTGTGCGCGCATTCAGCCGGTCACATAGGAAAGCATTTACAATGCTTTCCTATGGACGCTGGCGTGCTCTCACTGTGAAGATCACAGTGAGAAGCACACAAGCGCCTCTAGTGGCTGTCAATGAGACAGCCACTAGAGGCTTTGGGGGAAGGCTTAACCCATTAATAAACATAGCAGTTTCTCTGAAACTGCTGTTTATTAAAAAAATGGGTTAACCCTAGAAGGACCTGGCACCCAGACCACTTCATTAAGCTGAAGTGGTCTGGGTGCCTAGAGTGGTCCTTTAAGAGGAGCTAGTGATGGTTTGAGCTAGTTTTAATGAAATCCTATATTTTAAAGTTGAAGGGACACTATAGTCACCACAACTACCGCTTAACGTAGTTGTTCTGGGGAGTATAATCATTGCCTTCAGGCATTTTTTTTTATGCAAACACTGCCCTAGGGGCACCTCCAAGTGATCCCTGGCGGTGCTTTCTGGCTCAGTGCCGCACAGTAGGCCGCATTGCCGTTCAGTCTCACCGCTCTGCATGGGGACGCTGAATTTTCTGTGTAGAGATGCCTTGATTCAATGCATCTCTATGAAGTGCAGATTGGCCAAAACAGTGTTTGGCCCTGCCTCCTTGCCAATTTTAGCCAATCCAAGGCTTTCCCTATGGGAAAGCCTTGGATTGGCTAAAAATCGGCAATTCTGCCATCAAGGAGGTGGATCAGGGGCACGGCCAGCACCGGCGGACCTGTGCGGCGCTGGGGGCTAAGGGGGGGCGCAAGCCACCTAAAATGGTCAGTTTAACGCTATAGGGTCAGTAATACATGTTTGTGTTCCTTTAATCTGTGATCTGGTTAATATGTACGGTCCTCCATAGACCTCTCATCTGTACTCTTGCACATGTAGGAGAGTACAGAAGTGATGTCTGCTCCTGGAGCTACAGCCAGACCGTCTAAAAGAAGATGGCAGCGCTTGTAAGGAACCATTTGTGTAAGGAGAACTCTCTGCCTGACCTCCCCACAGCCACCACACCCACAGTGTCAATATCAGGTGTCTTTGCAAGTTATGCAAAGCCCCCAGACAGTGCTACTTTAAAGAACCTACAAGTTTAAGGTTCTGGTGCTATAGAACATTTCTACATAAAACCTATGGGATAGGCATAAGGCTATCCTATTCTTAAGATTAGGCCAGGGACAAATGAAAGTATTTCGGAAACAGGGCAGACTAGATGGGCCAAACTTTTCTTATCTGCTGTCACATTCTATGTTTCTAAAGGCTAGCTTCCCCACTGTGCACTTCAAGGCAGTCTTTCACTTGCAGCAACTATGCTGTGTGCACATGTGCAACATTATTTCTTGGGTTCAACTTTTTTGTTCCTGTAAGACTATTTAATGTGACGCTAATGGGTGAATTGTTTCAAGTATAGAGAACATTCCATAGAATTAAGAAGTTAAAAAGTTAGGAGCCAATAACGCCCCTTAATGTGGGCTTAAATTCTTGGCTCCTTTCATACAAAAAAATACCACTACTCAAATACACATTAAGGAAATTTATTTGTGCGCAAGTGTATTGCTTTAGTGGCTTGTTAATGTTTATATAGTGGCTTGTAGATGAATGTGTTTATATACAAGCGGGCTCAACAAATCCCAGGGCACCATGGCGACTACAAGTTTTGCCCTGGTGTCTTGGATTTGTCTTTTTTCCCTAAAGTGGCCGGCTAGGCAAACAATGAAGCTGGCCCGCTGCCTGCCTGAACATTGGGGCGGCCGGCTCAGGGAGCATTGTAGTTTCCTAAGCCGACCGCCTCCATGTAGCCCAGGGCGGCCGGCTTTAAAAACGTTATAGCCGCCCGCGAGAACAGAGGCGGTCGCCCTGGTTTCTTGGAGGCGGCAGGTTTAGGCAGTGCGCGAGGAAGCAGTGATCTTCCTGCTGTCTACATGCCACACTCTGATAACATGATTTTGTTAAATATATTGTGTTAAAAATACAAACCTGTATTCCTTAACACAAACAATTATTCCTTAGTTATTGTGCCCTATTTGCAGGTTTTGTTTTAGGTTTGTTTCCCACAACTTCATCTGGCTCTCGAGCTGATGGATCCAGCACTCCTTGTAGAGGAGCGTTGGAAACTAATGTACAGCAAGCTCCTTGCATTTAACCAGGTTCTTCATATATTGAATCTAGTGCTTTTCTATGAACTTCCTTCTTATGTTGCCACGTTTTTCATGGTCAGTGCAGTGGACGCATCTAGTCCAAATAGTCACTAGAGGTAAATTTAACCCTCCAAATGTAAACCTTGCAGTTTTTTAAACTAAAAACCTTGACTAATCTAGATTGCAGTGTTAAAATGTAAGGACCACTTCATTGAGATGCATTAGATTTGTGCCTTTAGTAGTCCTTTAAGGTAGTGTGTTGGCAGGTTTGGGTATATTTGATGCTATGTGGCTGTATTGTAGGCCTCTTTTTAAAAGGCCCTGCAATGGAGACAGAATTCTGTATGCCGTAATTTTATGTATATTTATTGCACTGGTCTCTGCAAAAAACCTATTTAAGGTTAACAGACTTCTCAAACTTTTAATGTATTCTAAAAGAATGGGCAGCTTTATCAGCCTGAATGGAAATGAGTCAGCTTCACAGTGCACCAGTTGTTATCCAAACATTCTTAGATGAGGAAATGACACATGGCACACATTATCAATTTGAGTCAGAGAAACAGTGAGTGTTCAGGTGAACTGAAGAGGGTGTGGCGTTTGAGTCAGATTTCCCTCCCCAGGGACACAGATTCCATCCGACTTATTGCGTAACAAATTGCTGTCTGTTACCTATGTATTTTAAAATGGGTTGGACTCTTGACTTGTAGATTACAACAAGCAGACATTGAATAGCTATTTCCACAGGCAAGCCTGCTTAAACCTGCCTATATAGAAGAATCCCCAGGGGTATTCATATAGCAACATTCTTCAGTTTTGCTTCTTTTAAGACATCCTTAAAATAAATCTGTTTTTTTTTTTTTTTCAAGCTAAGTAAACTCTGCTCTCAAAGACCCGCTAGGTGTACATTTCCTGGTTAAATATTTTGATACATCATAATATATATTATTCAGTAGTTTGATATATTTGGTACCCTACAGATAAGCTCTGTTCTGAGGTTATCAATACGTTGAGGGTCACCGCTCATGCACTGCCATCTCTCTACTACTACAAATTAATGGCATTATTTGCCATGATAGCCAGTGAGTGGTTTTCAGCAGCTAGAGTTGTCAACTCTGACTGTGGAATAGCCAGATATATGGTGTCTTCTGCAGATTTTTTTTTTTTAATAGTAGGTAATCTGTTTTGTGGTTTATCAGTTTTTAGGATGTAAAATGGTCTATAATTTACTTGCACAATTTATGTCTGAGCCTAAATCAGAAGGAAATTGTGTGCAAGATTGAAAATGATTAATGACTTGGATGATAGAAATGGTAATTTAAAGGGACTATACTCACCAGAACAAACTGTAGTTGTTCTGGTGACTATAATCCGTAAACCAGGTTTTTCTATCAGCCTAGTGATAACTCCACTGACCACTTAGTTGGCTGCTAGAGGCGCTTCCTAGGGCATGCATGGAGACACTGAATATGGAGACACTGAACTTTCCTTATAGAGATGCATTGATTCAATTCACTTCTATGATGCCATACAGATTGGCCATGGCTGTTTGGCTTGTGCTGGATCTGCCTTCTTTACAGTCTCAACCAATCAAATGCTTTTGTATGGAAAAGCTTTGTGATTGGCTGAAATCACCACTTCTGATGTCTGCCAAGCAGGCAGATCAGGGGCAGAGCCAGACGCTGCAGCAGACTGGTATAAAAGTAAGATTTTACTATACTGTGGGAGTAGGATGGTGTGTTTTTTTTTTAAATTATATTGTACATAGTGATAGACATACAAGCTTGTGGTGCCCCGAAATCGAGAGTCCAGCTGTGAAAGGCGTCGGAGTGTCCATTTCCTCTGCACCGGCCATGCTTATAGACCGCATACGGTGCTTGGGTGAGTCTTGCTTCAAATGTGGCATATTTGGTACCCGTTTAAGCACCAGAGTGTCACCAGTAGCTTGGTAGCCCTTATGTCTTGCACATGCTGTAGTTTGTTTTTTCGCTGTATTTGCCGGTAAAAGCAGGAGCTGTGTCAACAGGAGTCCGCCCAGCTCCATTAGATAGTGGTTTTTAACAATATAGGATCAGGAATATGTTTTTGTTCTTGACCCCATAGTATTTCTTTAATATTACAAAGCTTTGAGTACCAGAAGGAAATTAGTCACCTGTCCCTGGTGCTGTTAAGGCACAAATGCCACTTCTGAGTATTTCTCATAAACATAGAATCTTTACAAAAGAAATTACACTGCAATGTATTTTTTTTTTCCTCATTGTTTTTGTTCAGGCTGTCTCAAGATTACAGCAAGATGGGTTATATAAACAAAAATGCCACATCAACATAAACTTGGAGGAGAGAGTTTAAAGAGGGAAAAAATGAGAAAGTGCCTGGCGAGATTTGAGATGTGGCGGTATAGTTTTATTCAAACTTGTGTGCTATCAAGATTGCATAAGACAAAGTGGGGGGGGGGGTACTTTATCTTCATTTAACACATTTTGCTAAAATGTGTAGCTTGTCATTTTTCCAGCTGATTCTTATAGTGAACCTTCTATGAACCTTTATTTCCTCCCACCTATGTTTTCTCCTCTTTTTCACCAACTTTCTATGTGTATTTTAATGCCATCATTAGCACACCTTTGTGAGTGGCAACCTTTTCTGTCACTGTCCCTCCTTGGAAACACTCTGGTCTCTTCCCAATACGCAATTGACGTATTGTACTAGCAACAGGGGTCTACTGCCCAGTCCGAGGGGAAAAGGTAGCATCAGAAGCATTTGTGGTGTTGGGGGGAGAAAAGGGCAGCATATGTAACTGTGTAGACCACTTTCTTCTTTACGGAATTTAGACTGACCACTCCAAAAGTTAGTAACATGACATCAGCAGTAGGCTGACAAGCATTGATGTTCATCTGCAAGAGCACACACCCAGAGGCTGTTCTCTTGTTGTACATCAGCATGGAGTCTGTGCCACCTACCATCACCATTCAGTTTTCATATGTTTCGCACAAAATCTATAACATGGCTAGAAATTTCTGTAGCACGATAGATCAAATAGGCATTAAATTATGTAAAGTACAAAATGCCATGACGGGTATCCTTTAATGGAAACCATTATCCTGCACATTTTTCAAATACCTATTTAATCTCATTGCTAGTGTGCAAGATCATGTATGGGGTTAATACAGGATCTTCCTATACTCCCGTATTCTGCATCAGTGAGCATTCAAAGATGTGACTATATGAATATTTACATAGGCTGAAGAGACAAATGTGTCCATCTACCTTTCTCACATCTGTTTTGCAATTGAGCCAAAAGAAGGTAAAAACACCCGTTTGAAGCACTTTTTTTATTTTGTTTTTTTACTATGCAGTGGCATTGCAACATTTTTCTTATATCTTCATAAATGCATTGCGTTGGAAATTTAGTGAAAGCTGTGGGGCCATTTCCAGGTTTTGTGCAATAATTTGTTTGGTCATTGAACAGTCTTTGGTCAATTCTTTGCCATTTAGATCTTAAAGGAGCACTCCACACACTTAAAGGACCACTATAGGCACCCAGACCACTTCAGCTTAATGAAGTGGTCTGGGTGCCAGGTCCATCTAGGATTAACCCTTTCTGCTGTAAACATAGTTTCAGAGAAACTGCTATGTTTACTTTAGGGTTAATCCAGCCTCTAGTGGCTCTCATTGAGCTGCTAGAGGTACTTCTCACTGTGATTTTCAGTGATAAGATGCCAGCGTCCATAGGAAAGCATTGAGAATGCTTTCCTATGGACTGGCTGAATGCACGCGGCTCTTGCCGCGCATGTGCATTCAGCCGATGACGGGGAAAGGAGGCGGAGAGACCCCACCGTCGAGGGAGCTGGCGCTGGAGAAAAGGTATGGGTTTAACCCCTTCCTCACCCTAGAGCTCGGCAGGAGGGGGACCCGAAGGGTGGGAGGGACATAGACCCTATAGTGCCAGGGAAACTCGTGTAACAAGTTTCAATAGAAATTGTCACTTTAATAAATGAAACTTGTTACAACCACCTAGCTGTCACGACAACCCATCCTATTACTCCTTGGTTGTTCAGCTCAGTGTGAGCGAATAGCAAGAGACAGGCAATTTAACTCCAGATGCGGCTAAGGTGCTGTTCCATGCTGTTCTCTCTCGCCTTGACTACTGCAATCCCCTTCTCAGTGGTCTTGCGTGTTCCCAGATTGCACCACTGCAATCTATAATGAATGCGGCAGCGAGGTTCAGTCTCCAATCATTCAAAAAAAAAAATCATTGAAAACTCACTTCAATAAAGCATACCAATTCAACTGTTAGCAGTCAAAATTACCTACTAAGCCCTCAGTGAATACTTTCCTAACAACCTACTTCTACCCTTTGTGTCACTATACCCTACTCCCTCTACAATGTAAGCTCATTGAGCAGGGCCCTCCACCACTGTTCCTGTACGTCCGGTTGTCTGGTTAAATCTACATGTCAGTCCACCCATTGTACAGCGCTACAGAATCCGATGGCGCTATATAAAAAAAGCCAATTGCATTGCACACCTTGCAGCAGTGGGAAGTTTATTGGACAGCCAAAGAAAGTCCGGGCTTTCTTGAAAACACTGAGATCTGTAGCTTTTGCAAGCTGTTCTAGATCTACCCCAAATTAATAAAATACAGGTCATTACTAGGGGTATATTTACCAAATGTCTTTTATTTATTTTTTGTAGTGGCTCTCTAACCCCTTAAGGACCAAACTTCTGGAATAAAAGGGAATCATGACATGTCACACGTCATGTCCTTAAGGGGTTAAATCACACACACATCCTTGCACACTTCTTGAAGGGTGTATAGCTTATATATTTTTTTTTTAACTTCTATTATTGCACAGTTATACTTTATCCCCTGATCTGTTAAAGGACCACTCTAGGCACCAAGACCACTTCAGCTTAATGAAGTGGTCTGGGTGCCAGGTCCCTCTAGGATTAACCCTTTTTTTATAAACATAGCAGTTTCAGAGAAACTGCTATATTTATAATAGGGTTAATCCAGCCTCCAAATCCTCTAGTGGCTGTCTCATTGACAGCCGCTAGAGGCTCTTGCGTGATTCTCACTGTGAAAATCAGTGAGAACACGCAAGCGTCCATAGGAAAGCATTATTTTCCTATGAGACCGGCTGTATGCGCGCGCAGCTCTTGCCGCGTGTGCGCATTCAGCCAAAGGAGAGGAGGAGAGCTCCCCACCTGGCGCTGGAAAAAAGGTAAGTTTTAAGCCTTTCCTCTCCCCAGTGCCCAGCGGGAGGGGGACCCTGGGGGTGGGGGCACTATAGTGCCAGGAAAACTAGTTTTCCTGGCATTATAGTGGGCCTTTAATTGCTTGGTATTGCCTGCAGTAGCCTCCAGTATTAGATTAAAGCATCACCCAATATCATCTTGAAGTGGTTTATGGGTGAGCAGTGTCCAATTTCAAAGTGAAAAACTGTTCCTTTTAGAACTAAAAGGACACTAATATGACCCTGTCCCTTTAATCATGCAATGTAAAGCATTGCGGGGTTAAGACTGCCTCCAGAGGCGCTTCCTGCATTTTAACTCTGTGCATGAGGACTTTTTTTTTGGTACATTACATGCACCGAAACCTTGGCTTAATGGAATGGTTTTGTTGCAAAGATCCTGCCCCTGTAGTCTCACTGCTCCATTATTAGTTTGTTTATGAAGTCCTAGCTACACCTTCCCTGCATGTAACCTACAGTCTCCTTACACATTTACTGTAAAGAGATCTGTTTCAATTTCTATTATTGTGCAGTCTGTCTTTAGAATTTGTCATCTTCTGCCGTTGGCAGCTTGCAGGAGCCGCCTGTGTGATAAAGTTCTATTAACAGAGAAAGAGCGCTATCATATGTTATTGAAAATAAAACCCTTTTTGTTACGTTGGCTGTGTCACAGTCAGGGTAAGTGTGATTAGGGCTGCATGGACAGAAACTAGTGATTTAGCTCCTAAATGGCAGAGAAGTGAGCAGTGAAACTAGTTGTGACCTATACATTAAAATGACTTAAGCCAAAAATGTTTTGGTGTCCCTTTTTTAAGATGACAAATGAGCAGCAAACAAGAATAGGTGTATGAAAGACTTTTCTCAGTACATGGATGCAAGATTAGGTATTATAACAGAATTTTATTGAAGTTATTGTGCCTACTGTGCTGGAGAAATGGTGAGTAATATTCTTTTATATTTTGTATGGGACAGGGGAACTAATTTAACTTAGCTGCGAGACAGATGTAAATATGACAAATGTTATTGTGCTCTATATGTGGAAAAGCTTTGTTTGACCTCAACTGTATCCTATCTTGGGAATGAAAATCATGCTATGTTGGTCATGGCAGCATTGCACCACAGCACACTTACGTTCTTGTCTTTAATACGTTAACTTTTTTTTTTTTCTCACTTGCAGGTAGGTGACCTGGTGAAAGTAACACGGATGAATATCAATGGCCAGTGGGAAGGAGAGGTGAATGGTCGCAAAGGGCTTTTCCCATTCACTCACGTCAAAATTATTGACCCTCAGAATCCAGACGAAAGCGAGTGACCTGATTCTTCTTCTCTCAGAATCCTGCTGCTTCTTTCTTTCCCTCAGCCTTCTTCCAGACTCTCTAAACATTTCTTGGCATAACCCACAACTGAATCTTTCAGACGTCTTGTTATTTGACACTTCTGAAAATAACACGCTGCAAAGTTCACCTACTGAAGCATGTAACATAGCTGTGTTTGTTCATAATGCAGAGCTGCTTTTTACCATATGCTCAATGCCCTGAACAAGCTTATGAAGTCTGGACACACTGCCAACATGGATGAGTTGCTTAGCTGTTAATTCTGCTCCTCTGTTAATTTTTGAGAACAATGGGCATTTGCATTCTGATTTCTGATCTTTCTTGAACAGTCTAATCCTTCCCATGGAAATAATCATGTCTGAGGATGGCACGCTCTCACACCGGATTAAGTGAACAAATCTAAACTGCTGTCCTGGGAGAATCCTCTGTACCAAATTGAGGATATTTTCTATTGCGCAAGCTTGGGGTGTCACTGAACTGTGAAAAACATCCCTTTTTGAGACCTCCAGTACATCGAACAATTTAAAACTGAGGCCTTTAAACCATTTGTTCTGCTAGACATTCAGAAGATGCCTATTAACTTTCAAATGCACGGAGTACTGTGACTGTAGCTGAGAACTTTACCATTCTCCCTTTCCAAACCTATTTTATTACCTTTGTATCATGCAACATTGTGATTCACCCTCTGTGCCATTAATAAAATAAATTAGCAGGTAGACCACTTTTGAACTTTAGTGAATGTGACTTTTTAACCAGCCTCTGTAGTTCTATTAACACCTTCCACCCCTTCACCTCCCAACTCTCACTCTGCTCCTGCCTGCCTCACCGGAGAATATTGAGATAAGTTCTACCAATCTGGGATAATTTATAATTGGCTTATGTACTAAATTCTTTCATAGACTTCAAGGCCAGCTGTTTTCTAATTATCCCACTACTAATGCAAACATTCCAATTATGAATATGGTAATCATTGGTAACCAACAAAAATCTTATGTTTGCATTTATTTGCTAAATACTGTATTGTAAACAAGTTTGTCCCAAAAATAGCCACGCTGTGATTATAACAGAGCTGGAGAATTTTCTAACTTGGCTATTTCTATTTCATGGTATATGTTTCAGGTCAATAGTGTTTTGGGTCCCCCCTCATAAAACCCTTTTGTGTTTTGTGTTAAAAAGAGCACAAAGGAAGGAGCAGGTCTAATAGTGCTGATTCTCCTTATTACAGTTTGCTCATTTCTCATAACTTTTTTTTAATTGTCTTGTTCAAACCCATTGCAGTCAGCACAGAGTTTAAATGCAAGTTGGTTAGCCTGTCTGTCACATTGCAAAACTAAGTTTTTGTGTAGCTTTCGTCTGTTACCTTGAATGTTAAATGGGGCCATAAAATGTTCTGAATTGATTCTGTTGCCTCAATGTAGTTACATTACAGAATTGCCCAAATTCTTGCTGCTTCTTCCCACGTCTATATCTACTATCCAGATCAGAGAAAACTGTTTTGGCTATACCCTGTCTGAATATCATTATACATTTCAGTTGTTTACGAATCAGGCAGATGTTGAAAGGGAATCTGTCATTGGGACGCCTCACAAAGGTGTGAAATGTCTCATTTTATTTTTGTAAAGGGAGTAAAAATGCATTTGTGCCATTTTGTTTGCTTGTAAATTGTAATTTTATATTGTATTTACCTTTCTGGGGACAGTGTGTTCCCTCCCCCACCTTTAATTCCTCTCCTAAGCACCATTGGTGCATTTTGCAGTTTAACTATACATTTCCACATCATTGATGCGAAGTCCACGGGCCACAATTTGTCACACCTATTTGTTTTTGGTAACTTTCAGAGTGGCATCCCACAGTGTGCCCTACATAAGGGATATTGTTTCAGTAGGTGGTTAAATGGAATACACAACGGTTTTAGGTGAAAGCTTTTAAAAAAAATTTTAATTTTTTTTTTTTTTATGGGAAGAAATAGGTTTTGAATTTAATTTTGTTCTGTAAAATTAACAGTATTAAATGACTTATATTCTTAGATTATGTTGTGGTTTTGTTTTCGGTTTTGTTTCTCACTGTTAAAATGTGTGTGCATTTAATCACCAACGCTGGATTCATTTAAGGTTTAGTAAAGTGTTCTTTTTGTGAATGGACATTTGCTGCAATATGCGAATAGAAATGATAAAATATATTATAAATCTTGTTTATACTTACTCCTTCCTGCTTTCTGTGAACAAGTGTGCGTTTGGTAAGTATAGGAATATTTTTATATTGGTACTAAGCATTATTTGTATGCTACGACCCACCTATGGATGTTGATTGTATGCATATCTTAATATCCAGTTGAAAACAAGGTGATTGGAATCATGTCACATAGTATATAACTTCAAATTGGCTTACCAGTGCCCCCTAAACCATTCTTTATTTTAACTACCCGGTACTTACATAGTCGTTAGATCTCAACATAACATTAAGCAATTTTGACTTGTTGAATTGGGGGTTTAGAGTTTGATTATTGTCACTGCTCCATGCACTTGGTCTCTGTGGGATTATTGGACAGTTAGGGCACCCAGTCCCCTTTGCCAGCTTCATAACCCTGGTATCATAGCATGTTGAGACTTCATAGAGCCTGTTTTTCCTCTCGTGCACAGATAATTTGCTCTGATTCTCTGCCACACTTAAACATAATTGTAGAGTGGCTTCTTGATGTACCCATCTCCTTCACTGTACATTAAGGCAAGTATGCGACTTAAAACCAGAACAGGCATGAGTTTTGCCTAATAGAACTTGCACAGCTTCACCATACTCTTGATGCAAAGCTTTGGCACACTGGAAAAGGGTACTGAGGGACTCTAAGTTTTTGGGGATGAAGGGGGGTGGGGGGTGTGTGTGTGTGTGTGTGTGTGTGTGTGTCAAGAAGTGCAGGAAGGGCAAATCGAGAGCTATGCATGGTATGGCACCTACACAATATACTATTAAATTGACATGAGGGGGAGGGAATCAGTGTCACAAATTCTGCTTGGGGATTAAATATTGATAGTTGAGGGCAGTGCTGATTGAGCGCTTTGTAGCAAGACTGATTAGATACTGCCCAGCTTCTCGTCAACCAAGTGGCGGCAAAAGTGTTAATTTAAAATATATATATATATATATTATATATAATTTCTTTTTAAATATGCTTTGTTGGATTTTCTCTTCCAGCAGGCTGCAGGAGTTCATTGACCATATCTTTAAGCAGTTTAGCGTGCACTGTTCGCTGTGGGTGAGCTCTAGGCATTCTCTGGCGTTTAGGCCACTCAGGAGCACTTGTGTTATGTGGTGGGGGTCGAAAAGTCCAAGGGGCCAAGTTATGAAACAGAACGCTGTGAAATTATAGTCTCTGCACGCCATGGATTTTTAACAAGTCCTCTTTGATCAGATGTACAGCTCATCTGACAAAAAGAGTGAAATGGCTGCTGTGTGCTTGAATACTGACTACGTTGTGGGTTTTGCAAAAATTCTATATGGATGCTCGCTTACATGTTAAGGATGGCCTGTCGCATGGAGCAAGAGTAAGTCTGGATATGCATAAATAGTTAAACTGCATGTATTATAAAGTAATACACAGCAAGACTAAAGTGTGTTTTTTTTTATTTATTTTTTTTTATTTTTTTTTTTTTTTTGTATAGGAGCAGTACTAGAACACGTGGCTTGTCCCTTCTCCTGAAGGCAAATGCCCCTCAAATTTTAATATTTAACTTAATAACCTTTCCTGCCTACTGCACCTTTATAATCCCCTGTATCCATTGTACAGCGCTACAGAATTTTGCTGACGCTATATAAATAATACCGGCAAGGTTAGTTATTGTCCTTGGATCCAGGACTTTTTACACCGTGCGGTTAGCACAGGTTGCTGACTGAGGTTAGTAGCCAAAAGCTGGTGCAAGTGAAGCGGTGTGAGGGCTTCTGTTTTGTAGTGTTACGGAACGCAACTGGAAGCTGGCTTATGTGGCCATGCTAGGGGAGGTCCCAGGGGGACCTCCCACTGCTCTGCGCATGCGTCCGTCCTGCATAAGGGAACGCACTCCCGGAAGGCATTGCATTCCCCTGAAGTTCCTATCTCGCTACTGTGCGTGTGCTGATCGGAACGTCGAAATTTTGGTGTAAGTTTCAAATAATTGTGGTATAAAAGCAGTGCAGGACCTGTCTGACCTCGGCGGTGTTTGGCCAGAACAGGTACTGTAGTCAGCCTTCCTACATGGTGATGAGGTGGGATCTCCATCTAATTTGAGTTTTTTTTTTTTTTTGTCTTACAGAAAATGTCCAGTCCTGTTTCGCCAGCTAAAGTTGAAAAAGAAAAGCTGTCTGCTCCTATTTCTAAAAACCCATATGCAAGGCAAAAAACTTGTGTTCAGAACGTTCGGTCCCTCTTCCTGACGGATATATGAAAAACACCTGTAATCAGTGCTCAGCGGAATTACTGGAGAAATTCAAACAAAGAAATTACCTCATTCCTGAACTGGTTCCAGGAGAATTTATTCCAAACATGTTTCCTTTAGGGAAACTGTTTAAAAAGGACTGCAGGTCTGTTAATATTCAGGAGAGACATGTTATGATTCCCTCTTTATTCCAGAAGTTTGGTCCTTAAGGGGTTAAAAAAAATAAAACCTGAAGGAAAGATCCCCATCCTTTTTCTATATTGTCAAGAGCATGCTTAGCTTCTGTATCAGAAGTATCCAGTCTGGCCTCAAGTGTGGATGAGGGTTTTCCACCAGAGGAAATAAAGAAATTAATCAAGGAAGATGAACCTACCAGGGGTAAGGTTAAAAGGTTTTCTTATGCAGCCAAGGGATATGGAATTGCTACAGAGCGTAGGAAAAACCCAGAAAGCCATGCCTTCATTGCTAAATATTTCAAGCTGCTTTTCAAACTTCAAACAGAAGAGAAGTAGGAAGACTTTCCTAAAGGTGATACAATATGCTAAGAACACCACGATTCCAATTGGTGAGGTTTCTGGTTTTAAAGGATCCCATAGACAAGCAGGCTAAAACATTGAGCAGAAGAATTTTTCAGGTAGCAGGTTAACAGTGCAAAGCTGAAATCTCTGGTTCATAAGTGCTAAAAGCTCAAGGCATGTGGCTACTAGCTGTAGGAGATTCGCTTGTGGGAAAATCGGAGTGGCTCAGCTGTTATAAGTTATGAAACTTTCAAACTGATGTCACAGATGAAATACTTACAGGGATACTATAGTCACCAGAACAACTACAGCTTAATGTAGTTTTTCTGGTGAGTATAATGGCTTCCTTCAGGTATTTTCATGCAAACACTGCCTTTTCAGAGAAAATTAAGTGTTTACATAGCCCCTAGGAACACCTCCAAGTAGCCACTCCTCAGCTGGCCACTGGAGGGGCTTCCTGGCTCAGGGCTGGAAAGTAGGCAGCCCTGCCATTCGGCGTCCCCACGCTCTGCATGAGGACGCTGAATTTTACTCAGATGCATTGATTCAATGCATCTTTATGAGGAGTTGCTGATTGGCTAAAATGGTGTTTGGCTGCCCTTGCCGATTTTAGCCAATCCAATGCAAGTCACCTAAATGGTGGATTTTCACTATAGTGATCCTTTAAATTATCCTGTGGTCAGAAAAACATTGTAGCTCAAAACCTGGACTGGAGATTCAGCTTCAAAATTTGCTTTATGTGAACTTCCCTTCGAGAGGAGCAAATTCTTCATTCCCCTGGAAGAAATAATAAAACAAATATTTAAAAACAAAAATGCATTGCCACAGGATTCCAGATATATTGGTTCTCAATCCAACAAAAGGTTTATGTGGACACCATTCCTTTCGCTACCAGGAGAAATTTCGCAGACAGAATAGATACACCAGGTTCAGAGATCTGAATCAACAAGAGAAAAAGATACTGGTGCCAAAATGGTGGGTGGTTGTCGTCCGTTCTTTGCTCAGAAATGGAAGGAGACGACAAATGGATAATAAAAACCGTCTCGGAAGGATACACAATAAGGTTTTCAACTGTTCCAGATCTGGCTTTTTTCTTCCAAAGTACCAATCGCAAAAGAAAACAGTTGCCCTTTCTGTTTTTATACAAATGTGTTCTAGGAAAGTGCCCATATGACAAGACTTCCAGGGAGTTTGTTTACCTTTTTTTTTTTTTTTTTTGTTTTTCAAAAAGCCAAACAAATCCTATCCTAGACCTCAGACATAAATGCATGCATTATAAAATGCAAAATGACAATGTATCATTAAAATATAAACATAACATAGTGTACTAATGTTATAGCCTTAAACACTTGCTTCACGTTTCAAGGTTACACTCACAAATTGATGTTTTGTATCAGGCCTTCAGGGTGCCTCCCCTATGGTTAGGGTTTTTTTTTTCCCCCCCTGTTGCTGGTATTCATGCCAATTACGGTATCAGGAAGTCCACACACTCCCAATAGTTAAGTACAAAAAGGAATTTATTGACTTTAAAAATATGATTCATAAAATAACGGTCCTACGCGTTTCGTTCTCCTTGGGAAACTTCTTCAGGGACCAAAATTTAAAACCATAACAGGAAAATAAACAATCAAATACACTGCCAGCAAATTGACAAGTGTACAAATTACCCTGTTAACCCCCTACTTCCCTTAAATATGGCAGAGCTGAGAGTCCATTGGTGGTGTGGTGGGTGTTCTATATTCTTCTTTGATTGGGCTCCCTATCCTTCGGCAATCACCATACAGCGTTGTCCCAGCTGTTTCTATGCGATGACTCTCTTTTTCGCGGTCAAACTTTCAATCCGGAGTCCACTTCCGGTATTGCGCACTTCCGTGCGTTCCACTCTATCTTTAAGATGGCCGTGCTTTACATTCAACCCAATTGTATAAATGCATGCATCCCTTACCAGAGATTCCGTATGAAAGGAGAATTTATGACAAAGTAAGATCTGAAGGATCCTTAACATCATGTTCAGATGTCCTGTATTTTCTCAAATTCAAAAGGCTTGAAATAAAAACTGGGAAAATGTTATTCATTCTTAAGTCAAGGTCCTGCTTTTTGGC